TCAGACGAAGCTTCAGAATCCTTGCCTCCAAGGAGCAGCCTGGTCTCACCCTCTCTAGGATGAATCTGTTTGTTCTCCTGGCAGTCCATAGCATATTCAATACTGTTCTCCAGCACCATAGCTCAAAGGCACCCATTAATACTCCTTCTATCATCCCTAATCTGATGCATAGCAAGTAATTGCAAAGACTATGGCCTGGGTCAGGTGCACCTTAGTCTCCAGACTGACATTGTTGCTCTTCTGTACCGTGGAGAGGTCTCTCACAGCAGACTTTCTGAATGCAATTCATCTTTTGATTTCCTGGCTGCTGGTACCAAGAGTGTTGATTGTGGAGCCAAGCAAACCAAAGCTATTAACAATCTCAATCTCTTTAAATAATTATGTCCTATTAACATAATATTAAGTCATTCATTCAATTGAACAACATACAGAAGTGATTAACTGGATTTAAGGAAAATGTAATCAGCTATCATGCTTCCTGGTGGTGCAGTGGTTAAGCTCATCTCTGTTAATCAAAAGATCTACAGTAGGAACCAACCAGTCTCTCCATGGGATAAAGTTATGACAGTCAGCTTCCTTAAAGATTTACAGCCCTGGAATCCTGCAGGGCAGTTCTACACTGCCCTGCATGGTAGTTCTGAGTAGGAATCAACTGCACAGTAACTGGCTTAGATTTTTGTTTCTTTGTTTATTATTGCTGTCATAGTCAGCTACAAAAAGAATAAACTAAAGAGTAGTTAAGGTTAGGGAGAGAAAAATTGATTTTTAGATTATTTTTCAGGAAAAAGAATGAATCTTTGAATAAACTAGGATAAAATTTCATTTACTCCCCCTTAAAATCATAGTAATGTTTTGGAAAGCTAGAATTATCAAGTGATTTAGAGAACTAGTGCAGGATTTTGTGTTCATGTGAGTATCCAATAAAGCAAAGAAAAACCTCAAAACTCAGTTGGTGACACAATGCTTAAGCTAGTGGGTGCTAACTGAAGCAATGGTATCAACTCACCAACTTCTCCATGGCTAACGATGTAGCACGCAGCTTCCTTAATAGTTTACCGCCTTGGAAACTTTTGGGGGTGAGTCTGACTCATAACAAGCTTATAATGCAGGTAGAACTGCTTCATAGGGTGCTCAAGGCTATAAATTGCTATAGGAGCTGAATGCTCCATCTTTACCCCATTTGAGGTTTTTGCTGAGTTCTGGAGTTCTGTTTGCTTTTCGAGGAGTATCTGGCGGTTTAGGAATTTGTTCAGAGTTTGGTGCCTGTGGATACTGAATAAAGCTAAATGAACGTCCATCAGAGTATGTGGTGATGTGGTGAATATTTGTTAAGAACTTAACCATATGACAACTTGAGCTCTCAGCATTGTCACTTGCATGATCTTGTCTATTTTTACAACAAATATAGTGGTAGATACCCTGATCTATCCTCATTTAACAGACTAGAAAATTGAGGCACAGAGGTCAAGTTACTTTCCCAAAGTCACACACATATAATAAGAAGCTGAGATTCATTTACATTCTGTCTGTTTCAGAGTCTCTGTGTTACAATATCTTTGATATGTAATGGCATTGAGAGCCACGTGGTTAGCACTCTAATTAGGAAAAGTTCCAGTTGCTTTCAAAAGCACTTGATTCTCCCACGGACACGTCAAGATACTTTGTACTTGCTGTTGGCATGCATTAGTTTGAATTCAAGAGACAAGCTATGTGCTAACGTGAAACTGTGTGATGATTTAGAAACTACAAGTACTAGGATACCTATGTGTATCTGTTATGGAATTGACCTACTGGATACCAGTATCAAGATCATTCAATCTGATGTTATCTATTGTTTGAAAGTTACATCCAAAAGAGATTGTTTAAAATCTTTAGGTGCTAGCCACTAAACCAGGTTCTTCACAAGCATCTCAAACTATTTCAGGCTATTCTACTATCCAAACATCTAAATCTTGTTAGAAAATGACATAATAAAAAGAGAACACACACAGTTTGATAGCTGCTCACCAGTTATAAGACAGGAAGTGCCATGAGGTTGTATATGTGTCATCTCAGATATAATTTTAATTGTCTATTGACAAGAATATACTGCATGATTATGGGATATATAGTACTCAAATTATAAACTACACAATAGCCTTCCAGTTGCAAGCTATACTATTTTTCCCTCTAAAATTATGTCTCTTTACGTGATCTGTGTACTAATAACAATTGTCTGTTCTCATGTCATACATAATTCTCTTAGGTGTCCTTGACACTGCCTTGTACAAAGAGACTATGAATAGCTTAGTTTTATTTGTTTGTCTCTCTTATGCTTGATTGGAGCAATTGAGAAAAATTACATTCATAAATCTTCTTGCCAAGATAATTAATTATGCACAGAATATTCCAAGCTGCCTCTGATTTTCATTAATGAAGCAGATTATCAGCAAAGTAAGATACTGCTGTAGTTGAAAAGGTCAGCAGCTCATCTTTAAATGTAAAACAAGTGCACAGTTTTACTTCTGAAAAAAATTAAAACTAAATGGTAATGCTATCAGGTATCATATTCTAAGGAAGATTTTGTTGTTGTTGTTGTTTGGTTACTCCTGTAATCTTATTTAAGTCGCTATCATTTTAGCCATTTAGTTTCTTTCCCAAAGAAACATTAGCTGACCTATTGTAGTTCTGGTGGGCCATACACACATAGAAGTTGAGAAGCACTAAACATAACTTTAAACAACCCTTAAGTGAGAACATGCATCAGTTATTCAGGCATCCACATTACTATTCATCAGTAATCTTTGCTCTTATTCACCACTTAATTTTCCTTTTTCTTAAGTGATTAAAATGACTGACAAAGCTAACATTTTATTAATATAAGGTTTGACAGCTCCTACATTCCCTTTAAAAAAGTACAGGACTGACAAAAACAATCTCATCTGTCATGTTTCAACAGTGATTAGTGGCACTTTACCCTCCAATGAGGCAGGGGCTGCTTTCATCTCCTACTTCCCTAAGGTTCTAGGGTCAACATGCAACTAAATAATCCAGGAACAGGATGATCATAGGCCTTCAAATAGAAATAAGAAGTCACACTTAATTTGGAGTCCTTGATGCTATTCTTCATCATTGCACTGACAAAATTTGAAAAGAGAACTGGCAGAAAAACTCACAAACTCAGGTAAGACCATGTTTACACCTGCCCGAGTTGTTGTATATCTTCTGGCTGACTGTTAATCTCATCGTGCTGTAACAGTAATCCTCAGCTGGGGGTGATTTGGGCCTTAGTGGAAATATAGCCACGTTTGGAGATAATTTGAGTTGTTAAGTTGGTAAATGTGCTACTGGCATCTGGTGCTACTAGACTAGAGATTCTGCTCAACATCCTACAAACTTTAAATATCCACTGCTGTCAAGTTCATTCCAACTCATGATGACAGATGGATTTGAACTGCCAACTTCCTGGTTAGCAAGGCCATCAAGTTTTGCACTATGCCATCAGTTTACTCATAAGTTAATTATGAGTAGGAGTCAACTTGATGACAAAAGTTTTACTATATTGCTTTTTTTAAATGTCAGTAGTGCTGAGATTGAGAAACTGTATTAACAGGAATAGCTGAAAGGTCAATAATTATTTGAAGTTCTCACTTGGAATAAGAACAAGTTTCTTTTGACTTCGTGTTTGTTCCTGGATGTTTGTCTGTTGCTACATTTCAACTCAGAGTAATAACATAAAAGCATGTAACGAGAGTCTTTTATGGTGCATTCAGGCCCAGAAAACTCCCTCTACACTTCATCTGTCTGCTTAAAATGTCTGTGTACTAATTCAATTTACAATATTGGGGCAATTTGAAATGTTTCAGTAAATATTTTACCCGAGTTAAGGATTTTTGAAAATTCTGTTCATTATTACGTGCAATAATTGGAATTAAAAAATGTGTTGTAAGGCAGCTCTGGTGGCCTAGTGTCAAAAAGCTGCACTGTAATCCCAGAGGTACACGGTTCAAATCCATCAGATGCTCTGCTGGAGAAGGAGGGGCAGTCTCCTCCTGTATCAGTCAGATCTGATTTAATGGTAAAAAAAATGTGCTGTAAGCCTATTGACAACTGATTAGAGTTGTCCCTACAACCTGAGTACTGAGTCATTGTAAACTCATTAAACACCTTCCACCTTCTACCCTCTAACCTAGGAACAGCTAAAAAAGCAAACAAACCTCAAACTCATTGATGTCGAGTAAGAAGCAGCTTGTAGCTTACTCTCCAGTGGGTTTTCAGAGGCTATAAATTGCACAGGAGGATAGTGCCTATCTTTCTCCTATAGAGCAACCTGTGGACTCGAACTAGCCACTTTTGGTTTGGTAGCACAACTCCCTACCAACTAGGCCATTAGCGTTCCTCATCTTCTGATGCTGTAGTAGGGGCTCTGGTGGCACAGTGTACAGATGGTCATGTCACACCTCTCTAGTGGGTCCAGTTCCCCCATCAGGGAAGCTCTTTACCCAGTAAGCCACCAGAGCTCCCTCTGAGGTTTGGGCACAGGCAAAAGTATCAGACCACTTCATTGCTACCGCTCTTCAAACAGCATTATCTCTGTTGGGGGTTGACAGACTTTTCACTGGTCCGCATCATCATTTCCCTCTAACTTTCAAGAAAGACGCAATTAACATTTCAGAATTTCAAAGAAATGTGTCTAAAATTAATGGCCTGAAACAAAGTGAGAAAATGACTCTAACAATAGAACAGTCTTTTTTCCAAAACTTCCCACAGTGGTCTCCCATTTAGAAATGCAATATAATAATGAGAAGGGATAAATATCTCTTTTGCTATTATTCCATTGGGAAAACAACACAGTACTCTGGATCAAACACTTCTGAATCAAAACCCAAAAGATTTACCCACAACTACTGCAAGACAGCCACCCCCTCCCCACCCCACACCCCTGCTGAAGCGTAGCCAACCCACAGAACAACCATACCATGAGCTGAGGCAAGAACATCACCAGAACCTCCTTGCATTACCTGGCTTTCTTGCTGGTCCCACTGATATATCTGCATAACCTGCTCCAATTCCTGTCGCTGTTGCTTCAGGTACTTGTCTAGTTGCCGCCTTCTGTCTTGTAAAAGTTCAAGAAGGCTGTCGATCTTCAGGCAGCTATTATGAGCCCCTTGGATCAACTCTGGATTCACATTAGGCCCGTCGCATTTGAATTTTTCTATTAATTCAGTGAGTTGGTGACTTTTGTTTAGTAGGGCTAGAGATCGCTCTAAGAGTTCTAGGAGAAAATGAGAAGAACAGAGAATAGTGGCATAAGCAAGCTTTTCTAGAGTACCATTCAGCCCCTTCACCCACTTTAAAATATATGCATGCTTTCTGCTTGACAATAAATCATGCTGAGCTTGGAAGCAGGGGCTTGTCCTGGGACTAAATCCCTCAGCCCCTCCTGACATACTGCTATTTGCTTTAAGGCCATAAACTGCTAACTCCTTGTGTTTGCTGACCTTAACAAATGATAAAAATCCTGGATTCTACAGAAATGAGGGTCCAAAGCAGACCAGCTCAAACACAGCAGACTTCTAAAGTATTCTCAGAAATGCTATTTGTGGCCAAGAGTTAACTTTTGCCCAAAGTTATTTAAATGCTGAGAATTAAATCCAGAAACATGGTCTATTGCGCATGCCCCAGTTACCGTAATCTTTTCCCTTTGAGCAAGTTCCTGCAACCCCACCTCCTTTCATAAATAAATGTGATGCCCATCTCTTCTTAACAGGTTAGTTCCTGAAAGCTCACCTTCTCAAATAAACAAACATGATGTCCTTTCCTGCCTCAGAATTTTTTTTTAAGAACTTGCTCTCTCCTTTGTCCAGAAGATATATGCTCTTAGCAGAGATGCCTCATGCCACCCCTATTTGCAAAGGCTACTTGTTGCTTTAATAACACTGTCTCCTCCATGAAACCCAGATGCTGTCTCACTCCATTGTTGCTGCAGGGGGACAAAGGGCCTGCAACTTGGAAAGCCGTGATCCTGCAACCATGTTATTGTTGCCTTTATGTGCTGTTGAGTCAGAACCCACCCATAGCTGACGCTCTGGTGGGTTTTCAGATGCAGGTTATCGCACAGGAGGAGATTACCCATCCTTCTCCTAAGGAGTGGCTCATGGATTCGAACTGAGTGCATTCGAGATTGCTGCAAGGAATTTATTAAATATGTAAGCAAAGTAAGGCTCCCTGGTAGCAAGCACAGTAATTAAGTCTTCAGATACTAACCAGAATGTTCATGCAAACTCTCAGGACACAAGTTGGAAAAATATGTGAGTTTGTTTCCATACAGGTTTATATCCTTGGAGTGATTCACTCTGGCCTATAGGGTTGCTGTGAGTCAATGACAACTAATTAAGCTTTTTGATTTTCAATATAAACTACCTACATCCTTGAGGAACAGCTGGTAAGATTACCTCAGCCTGACAATTGCAGTAGATTTAAATCCTATTACACAATCTCCTAGAAAAATTTCCCCTTACTCACCACTCTTACCTCAGTTACAGCTTTGTATTTATATGTGGGATCATTTGGTTTATGCCTCTTTGCCAGTAGCCGATAGCAGGACTGAGATCATGACTAATGGCTGGCACAAGGGGAATGCTCTATCATATTTATAGAATGGTTGAATGAAACTAGCTGTAGAATGTCCAAAAAGAATGTTTCATCAGTAGAAGTGGGGGTGGGGGTGGTGAAGTGAACAACACAGGGCTCTCTTTGACATAACCTGTTAGTGAAAGAAAAGAAGATGACAGGACAGTATCTCTAGAGAGTCCTGCCCCTTAGCTTTGGGATGAGAACGGTGAAGAGCGAACCTCCAGAGATTAAGTCCCTTATTGAGAATCAATGTTGTGTGCTGGTCTGTTGGGAACTCTGGTGGCACAGCTCAGAGAAAGCTGTACCGCTGACTCAAAGGTCAGCTTCCATAGTGGTATGGACCTACGAGCTGCTCTCTGGAAGGAAGATGGGGATAATCTCCTCCTCTGTGGAATGCAGCTGCAGACACTTGCTAGGGGGTCTGGTTGGCAGCAGTGAGTTTTCGCTGGGGCCCTCTAGCATCCTCACCTTTGACAGGTGGTTACATTGTGATGACTACACTGAGGTAATTGAGAGACTGTTGTTTCTTTACCTAAATAAAATGTGGATGAGAAAACAAGATAAGTGAATACCCATTTTGAGATGGAAAGGAAAAACCCGAAGTCGTGTATACTGTGATGTAGATGTGGCCAATACATTTCCACAGTGTCATCTACTCCGAGTGAGAAATCATGTGCACTGGGTAATTTGGTTGGTAGTCAATTGTACTAGTCCAAAGAAACTACAAAACAATCAGAAATTTGAACCAGGACAGAAGGATGAGAGAATTCAAATCAGGTAGGAAAAGTCAGGTAGAATATTTATATCCACGTAAATCTCTTTAACAAAAAAAATAGAAACAAACATGAACAAGAAGCAAAAACAAGAAGAAGACCTGTCTAGAATAAGTTCTGAGGAGGGGAAGAAAAAAACATAAGGTGAGGATAGCTTGTATACGGCCTAGCAAACCAAATTTTAAAAATGGCTTCATGTAAAAATTGGTATGGCAAATTCCTCCTATATACGTTTTATCCTTTGCACTGAAAAGGTTGTGGCCTGTTCCATACACATATACACACACACAGCGTACGTGTAGGTGGGTAGCAGGGCTTGCTCATGTTATTCCCTTCCTTCTTTTACATTGCTTATTTTTACACACTTGACTTTTCAAATAAGATTGGAAGCACAGCTTTAAGTGCTGATGGTAACACAGGCTACCAGTGGATTAGACTAACCTTTGTGTCCCATGAGACTCTGTATAATGAGCCAAAATGTCCATTTGCAAACTGCAACGCTGGGAGTTAAGAACAGTAGAGATTTTGAAGGTATTGGCTTATGCTAATAATATATCCAATACCACTATAACACTAGGCATATAGCCTCCTGAGCCAAAGATCATGTATAAAAATGTGCCCAGACTGGAATGAATCTGTCAGCTGATATCACAATGGCCTGTAAACGGATATCTGTTCCCTCAGTTATTTCACGGTCAGTTTCTTACCTCATACCTTTTATTTATTGCAGTTAATACCTTTCTATCTGTTTGTTCTATTAGTTGATCTTATGAAGTGATATATATGTCCTCAAAGATAAGCTATCTAGATATAGCATGACCTTGAGAAATAGAAAAGTCTCTGTTGTGGGTTTATTTTAAAGACTGTATTTCTGCATACACAAAACCTTACTGATCAACACAAAGCTTTGTGATGTGTACCATAAGTTACTTAAATTTTAGTAGATCTTCCAAGAATTTCATTGTTTTGATTAGTTTTCACTATATATAAAAACTTACATAAGTGTAAAAAACACTGTATACTAATACCTGTACAACTTACCGTAACTACTAGGCATAAATAAATTTATGATTGATACTGTTGTGCATACATTGGACATGTGGCCAGGAGGGACTGGTCCTTGGAGAAGGACATCATGCTCAGAAGGGTGAAGGGTCAATGCAGGAGGGGGAGACCCTGGATGAGATGGATTGATACAGTAACTGGGGCAATGGGGGTTGATGTATCGGAGTCAGTGAGACTGCGTCAGGACAGGGCAGGCCTCAGAGTTGCTGTACACGGGTTCACTATAAGTCACAGGGGACTTGACGGCACATAACAATAAAAACAAAGTGAAAGATACACACAACTTAGGTGGATTCACAGCTTACTAAACAAGCTCTCCAAATTGAAATTGTCGTTGTTGTTGTTAGGTGTCTACAACTCAGACCCACTAGAACTCTGTATAACAAATTGATGCCTTGCCTGACCTTGTGTCATCTTCACCATCTCCACAATGTGCTAAAAGCCATTGTTGCAGTCACTGTGTCAACCCATCTCATTGAAGATCTTCCTCTCCTTGGCTGATAAACCCCTTAAAGGACTACTCTTGATAACATGCCCAAAAATATGTGAGACAAAGTCACATCACCCTTGCCATTAAAAACCCTGCTGCTAGCTTTTTCAAGTTCATATTAAATTCAGTGTTTTGTTTTGTTTTTTTATTTTGTTATTTTTGTGCGCGTGTACCATCAAATCAGATCTGACTGGTACAGGACCTTGCCACTAGGCCACCAGAGCTCTCCCAAATTCAGTGTTTTATACTAACAACTCAGGGGCATCAATTCTTTGATCTTAACATACAAAAATAAGTTGGATTTATCTACAGCGACAAAAAGAATACAGAGCCAGAACCAAGAGAAACAATACCTTTCACAATAGCTAATCACAAGATTAAATACTTGGGAATAAATTTAACCAGAAGTACAAAGGACCTTTTCCAAGAAAATCACAAAACATTACTACAAGAAACAAAAAGAGAT